ATGAAAAAATGCTCATCATCCTTAATCATCAGAGAAATGCAAATCAAAACAACTTTGAAATATCATCTAACTCCAGTAAGATTAGCCCACATCACAAAATCCCAAACCAGAGATGTTGGCGTGGATGTGGAGAAAAGGGAACACTTCTACACTACTGGTGGGAATGCAAACTAATACATTCCTTTTGGAAAGATGTTTGGAGAACACTTAGGGATCGAAAAATAGACCTTCCATTCGATCCTACAATTCCTCTGCTAGGCATATATCCAGAAGACCAAAAATCACTTTATAATAAAGATGTTTGTAGCAGAAGGTTAATGTAGCCCAATTCATAATTGGAAGAAGCCCAAGTGCCCATTGACCCACGAATGGATCAATAAATTGTGGTATATGTACACTATGGAATATTATGCAGCCTTAAAGAAAGATGGAGACTTTACCTCTTTCATGTTTACATGGATGGAGCTGGAACATATTCTTCTGAGCAAAGTATCTCAAGAGTGGAAGAAAAAGTATCCAATGTACTCAGCCCTACTATGAAACCAATTTATAGCTTTCATATGAAAGCTATAACCCAATTATAGCCCAAGAATATGGGGAAAGGGGAGAGGGAGGTTGGGTGGAGGGAGGGTAATTGGTGGGACCACACCTATGGTGCATCTTACAAGGGTACATGTGAAATTTACTAAATGTAGAACATAAATGTCTTAACATAATAACTAAGAAAATGCCATGAAGGCTATGTTAACCAGTTTGATAAAAATATTCCAAATTGTATATAAAACCAGCGCATTGTACCCCATGATTGCATTAATGTACACAGCTATGATTTAATAAAAAAAAAAAGTTTATTGTTAAGCCTTAGTTACTAAACTACTATTACAGTAGGAAATTGTCCTACTGATATTATTTATAGATGGTATTTGGTTTTATCTGACATATCCAGATCCCTGCCTGTTCTGTAAAATGTTGTTTTGTTTTATTAAAACCTCAATCCAGGTGTCCTCAAACTACGGCCTGTGGGCCACATGCAGCCCCCTCTAGGACATTTATCCAGCCTGCCAAGTGTTTTTGCCATCACTGCCTGTCCTGCTTAGCAGCCAACTCATCCCAGGGCCCACAGTCTGGCCCTCCAACAGTCTGAGGGACAGTGAACTGGCCCCCTGTTTAAAAAGTTTGAGGACCCCTGCCTCAATCTATATGCACGTTATCTAGATTCTTAGTTTTTCTAACTGGAAAGCACCTTCAAGGTGATCTATGCTGTTTAGACCATTCCATTTGTTAGTGAAGAAAATGGAAGTGAGAAGAGATTGGGTCAGGTGGATCCAAGCTATTTTCTTTTCTGATGGTGTCACCTGTATGGTATGTCCCCTCACCTCCCATTCCTGCACTCAATGAGACTCAGGATCAAACCCAGGAGGTAGAGGGAGTGGTGGTCTGGAGAGGCCTTTCTGCCCTGGCTTCCAGATTCCTGGGCCCAAGGGGCCAAGGTGCCTCTTCTTTGCCTCACGTCTGAATCCTGTTCTCTGAAGTCCCCCATCTGTCATGGGGCAGAAGCCACATCTTCTTTCCAGTTGGCCTTGATGGTTCTCGTGTGATATGATCTGATATAAGCACAGGGGCTTTCACAGCACAGAAAGTCAAAAGTCTTTACTACATGCCCTTCTGGCAAATCGTCAGATATAGCTTATTTTGCTGGTATATAGCAATTGAGGAAATTGGGGAAAGAGAAAACGGGTGACAGGCTATAGAGACCATCTTTAAATACTGGTCATCATTCCGGCCTTCCTCTCCAGCATTGGTAGAATAGGGCATGTGTACCAGCACACGTGCGCACATGCACACACACACACACACACACACTCCCCATGCACACCACCAGTGTTCCTTTGGCTCTGTTGTTCATGAGTAGAACATACCTTAGCCCAGTGCAGCTCACCTGATGGGAACCCTCAGCCAGAGTCTGGCTCCAAGGTCCTCCCCTTACCTCTGTGGATCAGGGACATGCGGCCTTTCTTCAGATACCTGAGCCTAGACAGATGCTGGCTCTGTGATTTACAGAAGAGCCCAGGAGCCTCACAGAGTAGCTTAGAAAAGTAGGTGCTATGCCCTTCAAGCCAAAGTACTGGTGGAGGGAATTTCCATTGGGCTGTGGGAAACTGAAGAGAGTGGAAATGACATCAGACGTTCCTTTATACCTGACTTAAGAAGAGAAAATTGCAGAATATTTTAAAACAGCCTTGGGTTGCCCTTTAAGCAGAACCACAGGAGTGATACTGACTGCCCATTAGATACCACCACCCCCGTTCACCATATTTCAGCATCTGGGCAGTGCCTGCCATGAGGCCCCGTCCTACAAACAGGATCAAAGTCCCTCCATTCTCATATTGTGTTTAGAAATACAAACCTAGTACCTAGAGGTCAGATAGTAGCTTAGTGCTTAACGTGCCAGCGGCGGAGTGTGTCGTCATGGTGAGGCCTTGGGAAGACCCAACACTGGCCCAGTGGAGGCAGTTTCAGTTACTGATTTTTCTCTGTTGGGTGTGGGCAGTGTGGCTGTCAGAGGAGACGTGGGAAAGAGCACCACATGCTGTGCTGAGTCACTTCCTTTGAAGTGGGTCCCCAGGCAAAGACGCAAAAGGACCTTTCCTTTATTCCCTTTCAGGATTGTAGATCATATCTTAACCTTTTCTTAAATCCCACCTTTTAGAAACTGTTTTACTGAGAGCAAAGGGGTCTTAAAATAGAAGGGGCGTTTGCTCATGTCTGTGCAAGATTTGTGTTAGATTTACTATTTAAACATAACTACAGGATTAAACACAGGAGTAGACCAGCTGTCCAGAGGCTCTGTGCAGGTCACACTGCAGATCTTACCACTGGTTAAGTGTTGAATTCCCACATGAGCTGGACCCCTTCTGAGACTATTAAAAGGGCATACAGATAAGTGTTTACACACATTCTGTCCTTCCATCCATGCTTTACAGGGAGCCCTGCCTAAAAAATTGTACCACTGGCCAGTGTCACTTGTCTCTGGTGGGCATGCTGCACTAATTGGGTTTTGTTTTTGTTTTTTAACTGAGTCTTATAGTTAGCCACTCTTTGGTTGGTAACTTGTCAGTTTAGAAATTAGAAGGTATTTGGGGTAAATAAAGCCTAGATTTTTAATAGGTAGAAGTTTCTTAGAACCAGATGAATGTAGGATAGTCTTCACCTGCTCAGCCAAGCACATGGGTGTTTGCTGTGACACCTAAGCCTGGCAGTCCTCGGCTTGTTTACATATGGTCATCTTCAGCAGAAAACCCAGGGCTGGTGGTTTAAAGCCCTAGACTGAAGTTCAGGATCCCTACTCTCTGAGACTCCCTGTTTTTGTCATATCCTCTGGTTAGCATGACAGAACCTATCTGTAAAATCTCTATAAATGGCAACCATGTTATCTCAGTTTTCCAGTGTACATTCTTTGTGAGGGGGTGAATCCCACCTGGGTGTGACCACAGCTGCTGTCTCAGACAGGAAGTGTCTATCTGTCCGGAGCCTCTGTGGGAGGTGGCTATGGGCACCAGACTGAGAGGGTTTATATCTGTCTGTTCATATGCACTGTAGAAGGACAGCTGATGTTTAAAAGAGCCAAAATTCATGTTCATGGTGTCCTAACAAAAGCATAGAAAATAGTCTTTGGGGCACAGATTTGAGGGCTAAGTCACAGATACTTAGATGAAGGAGGACATACCTTGTCTGTGTTGGGGCTTCCCCTCTTCTGTGTCCTCCTGACCTAACACACTGCTGTCTCTCCCATTGCAGGTGTACTTTCCGATTCCCCAGCACAGCCATAAAGATCCAGTTCACATCACTATACCACAAAGAAGAGGCTCCGGCCTCCCCTCTCCGGCCACTCTACCCACAGATCTCACCTCTGAAGATCCACATCCCGGAGCCGGATCTCCGGAGCCTGGTCAGCCCCGTGCCCTCCCCAACCGGTACCATCAGGTAGGTGGCCCTCAGCCTATCTCTGCCCACTGGGAGAGAGGTTGGTGTCACCCTCTCCCCATGGGGAGAGGGGGTGGTCCTGTGCAGCACAGGAGTCCATGTCTTCTGGGAAATCATTTGTTCATGAAAGTTATAAAACTGTTTAGCTAATGGCTTACATAAAAATCACTGGTGAACTCTTATAAAGAGAAGTTTCATATATTAGGGTCTGTTAAAGCAAGCACAGGTATTTCTTTCTTTAAAGACATTGAAATGTTGGCAGGTGCAGTGGCTCATACCTATAATCCTAGCACTCTGGGAGGCCAAGATGGGTGGATTGCTTGAGCTCAGGAATTCGAGACCAGCCTGAGCAACAGTGAGACCACATCTCTACTACAAATAGAAAAACCATGGTGGCTGGTGCCTATAGTCCCAGCTACTCAGGAGGCTGAGGCAAGGGGATCGTTTGAGCCCAAGAGTTTGAGGTTGCTGTCAACTATGATGCTGTGGGACTCTACCCAGGACAACTGAGTGAGACTCTTTCTCAAAACAAAACAAAACAAACAAAAAGACGTTGAAAAAAAAATTTTCTTTTTGAGACAGTCTCATTATGTCACCCTCAGTAGAGTGCTGTGTCATCACAGCTCACAGCAACCTCAAACTCTTGGGCTTAAGCGATTCTCTTGCCTCAGCCTCCCAAGTAGCTGGGATTACAGGTTCCTGCCACAACGCCTGGCTATTTTTTTGTTATAGTTGTCATTGTTGTTTAGCAGGCCCAGGCTGGGTTCGAACCTACTAGCCCCCGTGTATGTGGCTGGTGTCCTAACCACTAAGCTACGGGTGCTGAGTCATGTTAAAATGTTTTAAAGTATATCTATCAGGATTTGGTGAACATTGTTTCTGTAAGCCTCATTTGTAGAAACTCTATAACATTTTAGAAGCTAATCTAGATTTCAGAGAAAGGAAAGTCCTTCAACTTTCTCTTGCTTGGCATTTTGTACAAAGATGAGCTCCTGGAGGAAGGTTTCAGGGAGAAAAGGGGCATAGTCATGCAGATCTCTAGGGACTGCCTGGTCCTGCCAGCTCCTCATCCCATCCACACAGGGTGGGAAAAGATATGTGCTCGAGGGTCAAGTCAGGAGCTAATAAACTTGAAGTTTTTATTGCTTCATCACAGACTTTTTTTTTTTTTTTTTTGTAGTTTTTGGCCGGGGCTGGGTTTGAACCCGCCACCTCCTCCGGCATATGGGGCTGGTGCCCTACTCCTTTGAGCCACAGGCACCCCCCATCACAGACATTTTTAAATGAAACTGGCTTTACCCTCTGGACTCCTGGTCCATGGCCCTGCAGGGGGGTGGCTTTGTGGTTTCTGCCACAGCACACAAAAGTTCCTCAGCCTGAAGAAAAGGCAGGCTGCATTTTAGGATTGTTGTGAAAATTGTGTCGACCTCACATACATTGTGAAAGGGTCTGGGGCCACCTTTGAAGTACAGCCTGACACTTCTGCTGATTTGGAGCTGCAGATTCGTCATCCCTGTGCCCTGCTGACCAGTGGGCTGACCACCTTTAAGGTTAGAGGTGTAAATTGGTTTCTCTTTGACCATAACCCTGGGTGGCTGGATTCCCCCAGTGCCACAGTCAATGTTTTACTTAAGCTTTTTGTTTTCCTGTCTTGAAGCTTCAATTACAAGTGGGGAACCATTTGCATTTGAGTTGCTTGGAGTTGGCTTCCTTTCTCCCCAGAGCCAGAGGTGGGTGGCCTCTCCCTGGTTGAGAGAAAAGTTCAGCAGCAGCATGTAAGGGGCAGAGCCCAGAGGTCAGGTCCGGAGTCTACGTTCTGACGTGTGAATGGCCAGGTGTGTAACTTGGCCAGTTAATTAAGCTTCACTGGGCCTTGTGGTCCCTGTCTATCAAGCCAGCACTGTGATTTCATAATTCTTTGTGATGGTGATGATAAATGATAATTTACTGGAAACCTAAGTTTTTGAATGTCTGGTCCTCTGCATAAACACATGGTGTTTTATTTACTCCTTGACAGCTTTATGAGAGAATGTTTTGGAATTAGTGATGATAGTTACACAACTTTGTAAATATTCAAAAAAACCACTGAGTCACATACTTTAAAAGGGTAAACTGTATGATGTGATGTGTGAATTGTGTCTCAATAAAGCTATTGAATGCCTTACATATACTTAAATCTTTCTCCAGTATCACCTTGAAGCAGGTGTTTGCAGCAGTTGTTGAGACAGGTTCACATCTTGCTAAGTGCTGATCTCTGCTGTCTCCAACATGGGTAGTGAAAGGCTTTCCATGTACACTGCAGTCCAAACTAGGCACTCCTTAAGGGGCTTGAGAGCTGCATGGGTTGTTAATATCAGGTTTTAATCCAGTCAAATAGAAGCTATTTAAGAAAGCAAAGTGTTTTGGTTTATACCTGGAGGACTTAATAAAATATTAACCAGTAATAATCCAAATAAAAGAGTAGACAGCTGGTAAAGTTATCCAATAAAAGGTTTGTATATAAAATAGCTTTTGTTTTAGAACAGAGGCCGTAGTTTGTAAAGGAGTTAGAAGATCTTTTTTACTAAGTGAGTAAAGCTCACGCTGGTTGGCTGTAGCTCTTCTGAGAAGTCAGTTAGACTGGTGGTAGGTGAGTGCGGGTTTGCGTTGGAGGCTGAAGCCACTCTGCTCCTGGTCTGTACATGACCTTCTTTCTTACTGCTGGGGTTGGGGGCTTAGGTGGCCTGGTTTTTACCCCTGCCACTCACTGGTCCTGTTCTTTAAAGTCTTCTATCGTGGGCAAGGACTGGATTCTAGCTAGGAGAATTATTTGCGGAAAAAGTAGTAACTCTGGGACTGGCTCTCTCACTTTGGAGCCTTCAATTGTTATAATAAAAGGATCTCTGTTTACATCCGTTTATCTTAGTGCTGTGGAATTCAATTGAGTATTTAGAAACCTCAGAGGCCCTTGAGGTTTTGCTTGCCAAGATCCTTTTCAGTTTGAGTTTCTGTCGTAGGGTGGAGCCGAGGTGTTTACAAACACTCTCCGCCTTCCCCGCCGCCCTCCCCGGAGATCAGGCCGTGAAAGGGCGGAGTCTGAGCTGTCCACTCCTGGCCCCACCCCTTTCCAGGGTCACTTTCCTAATTTGGGGTGCCTTCACCTGGGCGGCCTTGGTGGTGGAGATGTGGGCTTGGCTCCTGCCTGGACACCCGCTGAGCCCCTTCCGTGTGGGCGGCTGTTCCTGGGGGGGACCCCCACAGGGAGCCCTCCCATCGAACCCCGCCCTCCCATCGGACACCTCCTTCCCGTTTTGCTCTGAGCGCCTGTTTCCCGGAGTGGGTGGGGTGGGGTGGGGAGTATGCGGTTGGTTTTCTTTCTTTGTTTTTCTTTCTTTCTTTTTTTTTTTTTCAGTTTATTTTTTCTACGCCAAAGTACTCCACCCAGAAAATGAATGAACTCTCTTTGAAATGCATTCCGCTATCTTTAGCAGCATTTTGACCTTTTTCTTTTTTGCGAAGAAGACACATTTTTAGGAAAGAATGAATTGTTTAATCATTTTCTAGGTTTTACAAAAAACAGACATCAGTCTAAAAAATACTCCTCCCAAGACATTTTTTGAGAAAACTTCTGCAATTAATGAGAGAAAAGGCACAGCAAAAGTAACTCATTTTTGCTCAGAAGGGCAAGAGTTTAGAAGCTGAAGGGCCTTTCTTGATTTCTCCAATGTGGAGATCAAAAATGAAAGTAACTTGTAAAATTTGGCAAGAGTTAGCAGAGCATTATAGAAAACAAATTAAACAACTAACTTCAAACTCTAAACCCCTTTCAGTCATGGGGTTTAGAGGTTTAGATTAACCTCTTTCAGCATAATTCTGCTTTATTGCTGGATAAAATTTGACCCCAACTCAGTTTGTGTTGTTTTGTAATGTTAGAGATCTTTTGAGTTATTAGATCTGCATTAGAAATACTGTCTTTTTCTGACATACTTTGGGGCCTTCCCTCAGGGGAGTTTAAAGGTTACTGGCTGGGGCCTTCCTTATGTTTTCAGAAGGAGGCTGTTTGGATGTATAACTGTCTATCCCAGAGATCCTGACCTGGCCAGTCCCCTCCTACACCCACAGACCTTGCCAGCCTCCAGCCCTACTCCATACCTACCTTGTCCTTCCCATCTAAAAACATACAGAAAATAAAAATTTGTGTTCCTTCACTTTTCCGTTTTGCCTAAATCCGTTTGTGGGGGTATTTGGGGCTCTGAAACATCAAGAATATTAAGTGAAGCTTGGAACTTACTGAAGCTCTTGTCTTTATGTTAAGCCGTGGAAGTTTCTGGGTCTCCTGACAGGCACACAGATAGTGGTCACCTCTGTGTGGTCAGGTTATTCAGGGACAGCCCCCACAGGGGTGGGGGGCCTTCCTTGGCCTCAGCACCCACTGAGAGATGCTAACATGCAGGCCTACTTGCTGATTATTTTTCACTAAGACTAGTCAATTTTTAAAATAGCTTCCCAGGGTTTTTACAGTGTTGAATTTATCTTAAGGGATCACAAACATTCTTTAAGATAGTTATTAAAAAATTGCTCCAGAAGTTTTCTTTCCTTCTTCTTTTATTTCTTTTTCAGATTATAGAGATGAGTATATGTCATATAAAATTCAAACATTTCAGAAAATGAAAGTACCTTATTAGGACACTCCCCAGAGTTAATCCCCTCTCACTACCAACCCATCTGCCTCTGAGTTGTATACATACATGATTCTTCCCTAGTTTTTAGTTTTAGAAATTATGTTTGCACTTCCTATGTGGAAATTAAGGATTTAGTTCCCCCCCAATTAAATTGTATCATTTTTCGTTTAACTGATATTAGCATTTTCTTCATTTGAACCACTCAATAATTGTATAGCTTGCTATTTCCTTCCTCATACCTATGGCATGGAGCTAATGATGGCCTCTTTCCGTGTGTGGTCAGATATCTCTGCAGCGATTGCAGGCATATCCTGTGCGCTCTGCCGGTGGTGTTTACGA